AATAGAAGATGAAGAGTAGAGGGCCAAGGACTGATCCGTGGGGGACACCTTGCATAACAGTACTTATAGCAGAACCTTACCAAGGTTAACAAAGTGAAGTCTATTAGTGATATAGGATAGGAAACAGGTGAGGGCAGTGTCAGTAATGCCAACAGCTGAAAGGCAGGAGATAAGTATGTCATGGTTAATGGTGTCAAATGCAGCACTTAGATTCATGATGAGCAAAATATCTCTCGGTGATATAAATCTCTGTGCTATGCACTGTACGGAAGCTGGATTGGAAAGACTCAAAAAGATAACTTTATCAAAAAAAGACTGCAATTGAGAAGCTACAATCCCTTACAGCCAACGGCTTGGCTGAAAAAGGGGTAGATTAGAAATTTAACAGTAGTGTTCAAGGGTGGCTTTATCCAGACAAGGAGTGCAGGGAGGGGTAGGAGAGAGAGGGTGAAGAGGTTTATTAATAGTAATAGACAATATTAATAGAGAATAGTATTTCAGGCTTATATCCAGTACCATTAATAACAGATAAAATACAATGTACAGCCAGTATTTAAAGCAGCACTGCATCCATGTATATGCTCTGAGAATACTAATATCTGATAAAGGTGCTCTAAATGTATGCCTGTGGTTTTCAAAGCACAGAGTTCAGGGGACAACCATGGGGAGGAATGACCAGAGGCAACCAATCAAGTCTTGTGAGAGGCCAGCTGGACAAATATATCAGAAATGGATAAAATATCATCAGGACATGAGAATTTTGACATAGAGGGGAAAGGAGAAGACTGAAGAAGAGCAGAAAAAGTGTGAGAATCAACAGCATTTAAATTACAAAAAGAGACGAAGGATTTAATAATCAGCAAGCTTGTGGTCAGAAACACCAACAAAAGAACCAGAAACAGAGGTGCACAGTTAAGCACAGACAAAAACTCAGTTGATAATGACAGTGAACAGTCAGTGTGAACATGGATATTGAAATCCCCAAGCACACTTATAGCTGGACACACAGAGCTGGCTAGAGTGAGTAATTCACTAAACTCTGACAGAAAATGAAGCAGATTTGGGCGGGCGGTAAATTGACAGAAACAGCACAGGAACTGAACCAACCAGTTTCAGGGGCATGAATACAAAAGATGTGAGTTTCATGAAGTTACAAAGGTTAATGTAATATTAAAGACAACAGCCAGGGCACCACCTTTTCCCTGGGACCTAGGGTTAGCTAGATAACTATAGCCATTAGGTAGCATCATAGGATGGAAGTAATCTCCAGGTTTCTGCCATGACTTCTGCCATGACATGAAAAACAATCATGTTGAAGCTGTTTTGGACAATTAGGTCATTTAGTTTAGAAGCTTTGTCCATTATAGAACGACAGTTGACAAATGCAAGTTTGAGTCTGTTAGAAGTTCTGGAATTATTTGGAGTTGGCAGTGAAGTGGAACGAGGCAGAGAGTGAAGGACATCAAAGTTGATTCACCAAGTGTTGGAAGGGGTGGTTATTTGTTAGTCCCGTCTATTTGCCCAGATAGCTGGGACAGCAGAGTCCAATGCATAACAGACAGTGAGTAGAGTTCTGGAGGAGCAGAGGAAATAGCAAGGGCGACGATTAATGCCAAGCAACTGGCATAATATTAATGTAGCAAAGACATCTTTAGTCCAGAAGCATACATTTTTAATAATCTATAATTTAGGGACCCCTAACAAGTGCACATTATTATTGTGGTCCAGCTACAAACATGCCTCAGCCAGATAATTAAGGGCTGTAGATGCTGAGAGACTGAAAACCTCAAAAATTTAGACATGGTACAACATGATGGGGGGAAAAGCCCCCTTTAGTGATAGGTACAGAAGGAACTTTAAACTATTTCTGTAGATGTTTCATTTATTGTTGTCTTTTCTGAGCATATCATGGACATCTATGTGCTTACAGAAAACTGACCAACTTAGATGTTTAATTGGAAAGAAAGTAGAATTTGTTCTGTTCAATTGGCATTAGTGTAGTGCCGAATGTGAAATGCTGAATAAAAACGGTTTAACTCTAATAGTGCATTTGTATCTGTGATGATGTAAGGTACTCCTTACACATCACAAAGACTGATTGTATATACTTACCTGTACTTACCTGTGGACTGATCATCCTTGCCTTTAAGGATGAACTGAGTGGGTTCACCTGAGTTTTACTTACCTGGATGAGTCTATCCTCTGTAGAAGAGGAAAGTACAAAGCCTATAAGAGAGGAAATTGTGTTTAAGAAGTGTACACTGTAATTGCAAATGAATGTTAATGACATTGTGAATGTGAATATGAGCAGTAAGTGAAGAATAAGAATTATAATTACTGTTGCATGTAAATATATTTAAATATTCAGAGCTCTTGTATTACCTCAGGCCAGTAATTGTTTATTCTATGGGAGGAGCCGTATATAAGCAACATTACTTGGCGGTACAGGTTATTCTTTGTTCAGCTCTGTGGTTGACTGAATGTAATGAATGTTGGTGATCTGAGTGTGTGTGCTTGTAAATATGTAAATAGCTGTGTGTGTGGTGTGTAAATAAAGGTGATGGGGAGAAGAACTCTTGTGCAAACTCAACGTTTTCCAGGTCCTCAGACCAATTGCCCGACGTTACCCATAAAGTGTGCCCACTACTACAGCATATTGCCGGGTCGAGAGACATGCTTTACCACAGTATCTGCGTGTTAAAATATCATGATAGGTATTGTGTATCGTAAAATATCTTATCGAATAATATACTCACCCAAAGTGTTGTGCGATAAATATATAAAGCAGTAATGGTTACTATTACAACAAACCTGCATCACCATAGTAAGTTTTTTAAGGAATTAAATACATATTTTTAGGTTTTTTTGTATGTCTATATAATATATAAAATAAATTACAGCTGTTCAAGTAATGCAGACTCAAAGAAAATTCCATACATTTCCTTTAAAAGGAGAACCTTTTCTGTACAATGAGCTGTCCTTTAAGCACACTAATCTCATTATAATAAAGTCATTTTTATCTCTTTGTCTGAACAAAATGTCTTGACCTGTCAAGTTTTAAAATACACATGTACATTTCCTGGCAGCCACGTCTGGCTCATTCGAGGTTTCCTGTTAATAAACAAGTGTTTCTCGGAACTTTGATGCACATGTGTGTGTGTGTGTGTGTGTGTGTCTTTGCTTCTTGCGCACTCCCGGAGCTCCAAAGGAGAACAAGCAGACAGAGTGAGGTCAAGGTGGGATCAGAAAAGGAGACAGAGAAACTAAATTCTTACACAGACTTTTTCTATGAATCTATTAGCAGCTAATAAGCTATAAATATTTAATTATTGTTATTTTGCACTTTACACAAAAGTAAATGATACTTTTCTATTTTTTTCTAATTTATTTTTGTTATTATCTAATGATAGGTTAGATTTAGACAAAAACAAAACATCAGAGTCTAAACTTACTGCACACTTGGTCAGGTGCAAATAATTTTAATCACAATGTATCACTTCCTGTATAATCGTTACACATTTTATGTCAATATTTTGTAGGCCTAACTGCAATAATTAGAAAAATGGTAACAGTGAGAAATAGTTTCATAATTTAATTTACTGTACATTTCCATGTAGGCCATTATTCTACAGCATAAATGGCACAAACACTCATTAAACACTCATTACACTCAAAAAATAGTTCCAGTTAAATAGCTTTAAACTTGTTAAAATATACACTTTATCAATCTTTAGATTTATATTTTGAATATCCAGCTAATTTAAACAGAATTATTTTGGCCATGTTTATTTTGTTTGGCTATAAACTTGAATTATGCTACAGCGAGTTTTTAAAAAAAACTATAGCAGCTGATGTTTAATGGATACACATTTTTATTTCTCTAATAAAGTTAGTATTAATGGATTATAATACAGCATTAATATTCCTTTTATGTATTAAGCTCCCAACAGCATGTCATGGAAAAAAAGAAAAACCTGTAATGCATGTTAGAATGAAACACCTCAATTCAGAAAGTAATAAGAGGCATTTTTAAATGGCATATCAAGACTTTTAGCTGAGATACAAAATCTGTATACTGAGAGAGTATACCTACATGAAGAAAGAGAAGACTCCACATGTATGAAAGTCATGATTCAGATCCTTCTGCTCAGGGTAGCACATAGCAGCATCAATTATAATCCACCAGCCTGAGAAGAACTGAGACAGAGAAACAGTGAGAGACAGAGACAAAGGGGCAATTAAAGGGCAATTTCAGATAAAAAAAAAAAAAAACCTTATAATTCTGCATAATTTAATTGTGTAGATGCAAGTCATTTAGGGTGCTTTGAAGTAAAATGCGCCACTCAAGGGTGCAAGGGTGTTTTCCTCTGTCTTTTCTGTAGGAGGGGTGGGCTTAAGCTTTGAATGTTTAAATGTAGCCTAAGTAAAACAAATTGAAACACTCCTCCTAATGCACAAGTTTTATTTTTTTATTATACTGTTTATATTGATGAGAGATGTTCTTTACTTTTGTAGCTGATTTTTTTTTTGTAGCCATTATTGTAGGAAGGTGGCTAGCCATAGTCATACAACTGTATATCATCAAAATTATTTAAAAATATTTTTTTAAAAAGAAAATGTACAGTCTGTACTATGCTGTATCTGTGAATTGAAATTTTAATCTGTGAATGCCATAGCCATCTGTTAATCAAGATTATTATTGTAATTATTAGAAGTAGTTGATATCTAGCACAGATCAAGCAAAATCTCCTGCTACAGCAACAATTCCTCAGTACAGCTCAAATCTCACACACACTTTCACAATGTCTGTCCTTTACCAGTACACCAGACACAATGGAGGACACTGTATTTCTCCTCTCTGCCCAGTCAATACACTCATTCTCTGGCCAGCAGACATTATCCAGTAACCCAGCCATCGCTGAATTGTTGCTCTGTGTGTTAACTCATTCACACTCGTAACTCATTCTCTGAGCGCAGATATCAGTCTGTGACCACGTGCTCCAAATCAGTCTGTAACAAGAGAGCAAACATTACTCACAGTCTTGTGGTCTGAATCCTCTCTGGAACGGAAATACAACCTGAAAAACACTCTCATTATGACTCTGAACAGGCAGATAATAAAGTAACGTACTGAGCAGTGAGCCAAATCCCGATTACAGTTTTCAGCCAAAACAGTTCACTAAAGCACTGATTATTTCACCACAAGCTGAAAGTGTGTATCAGTGAGCACTGTAACTCTTAAAAATAAAAAATAGAGAATGCAGAGCTGGCAACTGCGTGCTTCTGGTGACAAGCTACTGTTTTAATAAATATTTTGGGTTGATAAGTATAAAATGTGCTAGTTATTCACATGGCTTTTCTGCTTTTGAATATTCTATTCCTACATTGTTCACAGGGATGTAAATACCCTCAAATTCAAGCTGAATGTCTGCACTTTGAGCTCATATGTGTTACTTAATTTCATTTTCAATATGCTGTAGTAGACAGCTAAGATAATAATATTGTTGACATCCAAATATTTATGAACCTGACGGCATTTATTTTTGTTTATACTTTTTGACTTTCACTCAATATTTTGGCTCCATACTTCAAATGTTACTCGGTTCGGTTCTTTTAAAACTAACTATATGTGAAAACACTGTAAGACATTGAAACAGTCCCCATACTTGCACTTTAGTATATTTTCTCTGTACATTTCCGCTCATGGGGTATCGTCACCATGACAGTGCGGTTCATTTACAGACAGTAGTAAAATGGGGGAATTGTGGAAGCGCTGCTGTCAGTGGTTTTCACAGCTCATATCCTAGAACTCTGCGGTTTCTTCAGGCACACCTGCTCACCCTACAGTCTTGGAGATGTGTGTTTAAAGTATTTTAAATAAAATTATGCCATTACGTTCCTCAAGCAGCAAAAGCTCGCTAATTTTAAGGGTTTAAGTTATAAAGAGCAAAAAATTTACAGGTTTGGGGGAAATTATATAGAGATGATTGTGGCAAAAAAACACGTCCTCTAGCGTGGAGCTGGTTTGGTTTGGTTATAACTGTTTCTTAAATCAGGTGCATTACATTTTGAAACCTATTCAGACTTTAAGTTGAGCATTACAAAATACACAATTAGTATTAGTAATTGTTAATATTGAATGGTTTGGAAAGAATCCTGAAATTAGATTTTTGGTCATACTGTCCAACTCTATAGCCCTATTTAGAATCAAATGTTATGTCTTCTCAGTGATAAAACTCCTGCATTCAGATGGCAATAACATTAACGTGGGACAAGTGAGTTTCTAGTGGGTTGTATTTTCTATGAACCTGGAAGTTTGCATTACACATGATTGCAAAACAGGCACTACAATCAGCAGATGGTTGAAAGATTTTCCAAAGCATCCATCATGATTGCTGCAGTTAGGTGATATGCCCAGACAAACTGTCTACAGTAAACAGAAAGCTGTATATCTGCTTCGACTCTAAAGAGGGAAATTCCACTGACCCCCAATGGTGCTAATCTGCCACCAACAGTCATGGCTCCACGAGATTACCTCAAGGATCCTGAGCTTCTGCATAAACTGGGCCAGACTTCTGGGCAACACAGCTGATAGCAGTGGTGCAAAAATGTGCCAATCTGAAGGTCACAAAGGTCAACTGCATTCACATTGTAATTCTGAACCAATTAATGAATCTTAATTGTGAACTCAGGCCAACTGTATTGACAGTAAAAATTATGAATTGCAAAGATGAAAAAATGTTGCGTTTGAGTACAACCAGAGGTAGTGTTGGTTCTAGGCGCACTGAGTTGTGCAATGTCTGGTGACAGGACATTTTTTACATTTTGACTATATGAATAGTATATGAATGGCTAGTATATGCAATTATGCAGAAAATCTAAGTAGGCAGAGCTAAATGGTCCAAATTGCAAATAAGTTTGACACCTCCGCTGTCAGTAACCAGCCCAAACGATAGGGGAATATCCTTTCAGTTTGTCTTGAGCCAACAAAAAAAAGAAATTTTCCTTTAGAAGTCGTGAGGCAAAATGCGTTTTGTTGCACTATAGCACTCCCCCTTTGGCCAATCGGGTTTATTTTGGTTGGCTGGCTAGATGCACACAAACTACACAAGTTTGGTGTCTTTATGATTTAAAGGCCTTTTTTAATATATTTATAACACAAAAAAGCAAAAGCCACAAATGTTTTCAAAGAAATGACACATTCTGTAAAACTTAAATGTTAATATAAAATGTGAAAAATGAATGCCAGGGGCTTCTTTCTACTGGCTGGGGGCATTTTTTCCCTGACAGCAGATCACAGCTTTAGGAAAGCTAGTCATAACACATACCTGCACCTGTCTGTTACCAAGGCAGCATCTGTGCTGCTTATATGACCCAGATTGTCTTCATCATGTTCTGTTCTTCATCATTCAACTGTTTTTTTCTGATTAAATGAGATGCGAATTGTCCAAGTACAAATGATTACATTCTGACAAAAGCTTCCCTCAAATAGATTATATAGTAATAAATCACACATGCATTTCATTTACCAGATACTCTTCATCTTAGACATCACTAAAACTGCCTTTCAAGCTCACACAGTCCTGCTGTGCTTCAGTAGAAAGTAAACATACTCACCTTCAAGCACAGCTGTCTCCATCAGAGCCCTAAAATACAGACAATAAGAGATTACAAGGTGGAAGAAACCAAATAAAAAACGATTTACCTTCAACATCAGTAGTTAAATATACATAAAGCAATTTTAAACCACTGCAATCTTACTGATCTCGTAAACTGCATGCTTCATGGCTTGCATTCAAAATAGTTAAAGAAATAAAAATGAAGATATTACATATCACCACCATCACAACAAAACTTATCTGAAACAGTAACTCTATAGGAGTACATTAACTTTAATGTATGCTAATGTTAAAAGATTTTGTTCCATTAACCCAAAATACAAATGGCAGCAAGAGTTTTCAAATGGTGTAAATAAAGCAGATACTCAATACGTTCAATTATTTATTTAAATAAGGTAGAGCTTTGCTGATTTTGTATTTTGCATACATTCTAAAAACCAAAAAAGTCAAGTCAAAGTTTATTTATACAGCGCTTTTTACAACAGGAGTTGTCACAAAGCAGCTTTACAGAAAAATCCGGGTCCAAGCCCCCATGAGCAAGCCATAGGCAACAGTGGTAAGGAAAAACTCCCCAGGAGCAAGAGGAAGAAACCTTGAGAGGAACTAAAATTCAAAAGAGGAACCCATCCTCCTCTGGTCGACACCAGATAGCAAACAGCATTAGTATAACATATTACAATACAAAACGGGGAAAACAGGCGGAGCAATGGTTAATTCGATTAGTTTTAGTTTATGCAGCAGCAGCAGCATCATCGGAAGGTCAGTTCATGAGGGTGACGTTTGCACAGCGTTGTACAGTATGAAGCTCAACGGTGGTCAAACTGGTCCAGAAGGCTGGCGAGCAGTGGGCACCCCATCAAGGCAGAAGAAGCAACAGCATCAGACTGCACAGGATGGGGAGTTGTTCAACTCGGCACAGAAAAGGAAAACACACAGAGAGTTATTTCTGTAAAGAGTGACTGATCACAGAATACAGTATTAACAGAGTGCAGCACAGACTCCGGCAGGTCTAGTTATTACAGCCTAACTAAAAGGAAGAAACCAGAAAGGTAACAGAGACATGAGGGCTCCCTGAGATGTCAGTGCCCCTCCACTCCACCGTCAGCAAACCTGAGTGAACGCGTGAGAGCAGCGGGACGACAGCACCAACACTCCAAGTTAACCATAATACTCTATGTCCATGAACCCCCAGATCTGCACTTTTTATCTAACAGGGAAAACTAGTTACCAAAGGCTTGACTAAACAAGTTTGTTTTTAGCCTAGACTTAAAGACTGAGGCTGTATCTGAGTCCCGAGCACTGCCTGGAAGATTATTCCAAAGTTGGGGGGCTTTGTATGAGATGGCTCTCCCCCCTGATGTAACTTTATTAATTCTAGGTACTAATAGTAAGCCAGCAACTTGTGATCTAGGTAGGCGTGATGGTTCATAGTATGAGAGAAGTTCACTCAGGTACTGAGGGGAGAGTCCATTTAGAGCTTTATATTTCAGTAAAATAATTTTGTAATCGAAAAGGGTCAAAAAGGGTTCTTTAGAGCAATGTCGCATTTGACTAAAGAACCTTTTAAAGGATGATGGTTTCAGTGGAACATTTTTGTAAATGAGATGTGTGAGCATGAAGAACAGCCACATAAAAAAAAGGAAAAACAAAAAAAAAGACAAATGAAAAAAAAAGTACGCCAACATCAAACAGAGAAAAAACACTTTAGAAATAATTCTAATTGCAATGAAAATGAGAGATAGCTGTTAAAAAAGCCATTTGTTTCCTTTGCTCTCCTGCACTGACCAGCACAGAAGTGTTCAAACAGTTTGAGTGACAGCAGATCAACAGTGACATTACCTGTGTTATACTATTTCACTGCTTCTGTGATAGACACTGATACCAAAGCAGAAAGGAAAGTCCCTGCAGCACGCAGACAACAGACAAAGAGCAAAAATCACCAACAATAATAGAGTTCAGTCAAGGATGCTGGTTTGTTGGATTTTGATGATGCATACTGTAGCTACATAGTATACGAATTTTGGTACATTTACTTTATGTGAACTTTATTTATTGTCAGTTTTTCAGCTTTGGTTTTCCACCCAGTGTGTCCTGAATTTCAGTTTCTGCCAAGAATTGTCAGTAACACTACATGAATAACATAACATTGACTGTACTGTAAACATGTCATGGTACATGTGATACTGATTTTCTCGTTCCACCTTAATGGGTGCAGCAGTTACATTCTGGCGCCCACACCAACATTTGAGGTATAATGGGAAAATTCGAACAAGAAGTTTGCTAATAATGAGTTTAGCTTTGTTAGCAAGTTTACAGTTTACTGTTCCCAGTTTAACGTTTACAGTTTACCGCAATCTAAGCGAAACTGAGAGGAAGATGCTAAGCTAATTAGCTAGCTTGCTAATGTCAGCTAGTTGATAGACAGAGTATGGTTAAAGCGAAATGAGGGTAAAAGTGAGGGTAAACGGAGCGTAGGAGAAGCAGGTGTCTGTAGTGTAAGTTAGTGTTTAAAGATAATAAATCAGGTGGGTGTAGATGTGTTTTTGATCGCCCACCTCTCATAACATACTTAGCTTTATTCTTTATTACACACACAGACGCAGTTTAAAAACCTGAATGTTTAATTTCCAGTGTTGCACCCGTATCAGTTCTTCCTCAAATTCACATCCCCCACAAGTTCTCTGTTTCTACGATGACATTTTAGGGCCACTGTTAATAAAAAAACTGTAGACTTCAAAAATATAGTCGTAATATTTCGAGAAAAAAGTCTACTACTATTTTTATTTTTATTAGCAGTGGACCTAAAACGCCGTCGTACTGATATATATACGTATATGATGTATAAATCATAGTTGCGGGCGCGTGCATTCATGCAGCACTATAACAATGAAAAGCGAAAAGGGTCAAAAAGTCTTACGCCTCAAACGAATCATCCAAACAGCATCAAAGCGCAGATTTACACCCTTCTTGAATCTTCTCACTTTCCGTAGTTGCAGTGTTGTTAGGTACTGATTTCTGCTCAGTGAATGCGTGCTCCTGAGGGGAACGTGAATTTGAAGGGGAACTGAGCGGTTGCAACACCCGGGCAGCGCTGTGCGAGACCTCAGTGAAGCTGGCCCCCCATGTGGTCAGAAATGGAATAAAAATACTACTGTTCGTTTGTGCTGGTTTGTGCCGCAGAAATCATCGTTTGTGCTGTCACCATTTTTAAGAAATTAAACATTATATTTTATTGCCTGTGATGTCACGCGGCCCCCATCAACGTCCAAATCGCACCAAAAGGGTCTCGTTCGTTTGTGCTGCGTTTGTGCTGGTTTATGCGTTAAAATAAACATTTGTTTTGTTTTAATTCTCCAGTTATAAGCCATAAAGGTTGGACGAGGGATGTCAAACAGCCCCCCATCAACGTCCAAATCACACCAAAAGCGTTGCATTCGTTTGTGCTGCGTTTGTGCTGGTTTGTGCCGTTAAAAGAAATGTTTGTGCTGTTTTAATTATCAAGTTATAAAGCCATAAAGGTTGGACGAGTGATGTCAAACAGCCCCCCATCAACGTCCAAATCGCACCAAAAGGGTCTCATTCATTTGTGCTGGTTTATGCCATTATAAGAAACATTTGTGCTGTTTTTATTCTCCAGTTATAAAGCCATAAAGGTTGGACGAGTGATGTCACGCAGCCCCCGCCCCTTCCAATCAACGCCCAAATCGCATCAAAAAAAAAAATGCATCAATATAGTCTTGTTGGTTATCATGAGTAGTCTGTCATCTCCCACGTGATTGTCACGTGCTGACAGTGCTGAAGTGAGAAGATCTGAGGAGATGCACATGTTGCTACTGGAGCTGCCTGAGCAAATTGAGTTATCTCACTTTTAAGTCTTAGTCAGGATCATAATGAAATTAAGGATAAGTAAAGAGTTGGACAACTTTACTACTTACTTTAGATACATTTAAAACTAAAGCAACGATTGAGCCAACCACCGTTCACTCACAAGGATTGCTACACAGTTAAACTGATTTGTGGAATCCAAACGTTAATGTCATTTCAATTGTTTTAAATGCCTGTGGGCAGTCCACAACCAAGTACAGGAGGGGGTAGTGTGAAGAATAAAAATGTAAGAAGGTTTTGATTTATTTAATATTTTATAGTCACTCCACAATTTCATGTTTTATTTTATAGCTCTGATTTCTTCACTGTTCCAAAATATAGGAAATCGTCCACATTCTTTGAGTGTGTCTAAATATTTGACTGATAGTGTATTCAGTAGATATCAGTCATCAACGATTAATAGAATGCTAATGGAAATAAGACACAAGACATCAAGAACAGATTGGTTAAGTTTAATATAAATGTCAAAGCAGTTACAATACATAAATTGCAGAAATGTTAAAGAAAATAAGAAAGAAAAAACATGCAATATGGAGCAAATACAGACATTTTTCAGAGATAAAACCATGAGGGTGGTTTAGACTTTGACAGAATTCTTATTTACAAATAAGACTGAGGGACTGTAACGAATATCACAGAACCAGAGCTGCCGAAGCGCCGATTAGTGGAGGACCATTGTCGTGGACGCCCCATATGAGCAGGGAGGGAGCTAGAGAGCCCCTTACGTGGGCGCCCTTGGGGACGAGGAGCAGGCTTGTCCAGATGTCGACTGTGAAAGTCCGCCACCAGTCCTGGGTCCAGGACGTCTCTTGCTGACACACAACTCTGCTCCTCCGGTCCGTATCCCTCCCCAGTCCACTAAATACTGGAGTTGTCCTCCATGTCTTCTGGAGTCCAGCAGCCTTCGGACAGCGTAGACTGGCGCCCCATCTATCTCCACAGGTGGAGGTGGCACCTCGCCCGGCGTAGCCTTGTCCAAAGGACCTGCAATAACAGGTTTGAGGAGAGATACATGAAAAGAACGGGAAACACGATATCGGGGGGGGGTAAGTCTAGTCTATAAGTTACATCATTTATTCATTTCACAATTTTAAACGGCCCTATATATTTGGATTGTAGCTTTCTACTTCCCTCTAAATGAC